AAGTAAACGAGCGTAGAATAAATATAAAATAAATTAATAAAATGGCCGCGTGAAAAGAAATCATAACGAGTTTGCGACGTACGCCGTGTTGGCAATTATGTGAGCAAAGTGGCTAATGGGGGAGGGCAGTGGAGGGTAGGAGGGTAGGGAGGGTGGTGAGGGGTTCTGTCAATTGCAATGCATGGCTATGATTGACTTGGCTTTTGGACAACCACCAGCCAAGTGACCTTGCAGTGCAGTAAGCCTCCCCCTTGGCGCGCACAGCCCGTAAAGCAATCAGTGCCAAATCAGAAGTTTATTTATTTGTTTGTTGTTTGGCAAACATTTACGCCATCAGCAAAACGACACCCAAGAGCTCGTTAAATGCGCAGTCATGCGGATGTAATTCAATAAACGAGCGCGCCATCATCACAGTGGCAGCCCGTTAAACTCCCAGTCCCAGCACTCATCCCTCTGCCTCTCTCTGTCCCTGTCCCTGTTCTTTCTACTGATATCGCTGTCCTTGCCATCAACACCCAACCGTTTAGCTAGGATATACATATATATATATATACATATATATATGTATATAGAGAGAGACGACTACTCGTCTACTCATATATATGTATGAGAGCCAGCCGCAATTGCCACAACAGCCGCTGCGACTAAATGACTGACTGACAACCGCATTGTATTTGTGTATATCAGTGTGTGTGTGTGTGTGTGCTTGTGCGGGGGTTGGTTTATTTACTCGGCTGGGTAAACCACCCTACTGAGGCCAAAACTTGAAACTGCCTCCTCTTTGCGCTGGCTCTCCATGCCTCGGCTCAATAACGTTTATTGACTAAATTTCGCACCAGCTTCGCCTGCATCCCCCGGCCACAAGAAGAAAACAAAAATCAGAACTGTCAACACGTCAAATGGGGGCGTCATCAGCCGCTAAACAGGGGTGGCAACGTTTTTAGCATGTTTAAGCGATTTAACGCATCGCAGGGATAATGAAATTTTGATTATGTTGCGCTTGGCTGCCTCTGTTAGCCAAAAACGATTCGTATTTATCGCTGCTAGTGTCAAGTGCTATATATCTAAATCTATGTGTGTGTGAGAATTACAGATTGGAAGCCATCAGCTCGTGTGGGAACTGCCATTGTCAGCTACTAATTAACATGGCTTATTAAGCCCTCAATGTGTTTAGCGATTATATGTCATTTGTGTAGAAAAATGATCGAAACTTTGCTGATATGTGTGAAAAATATATGGTATATGCCAAACTGTGACTCAGATATGAGTCTAAAATTAGAGACTATGAGTGTGTACATAAAAATCAATAGTTATCCATTATATCATTGTTATACTTCATCATTTATGTGCCATACATATATGTGGATAATAATGAACAGAATCCAAACAATAATAATAATACTATTCAACACACTACATTATAGATTATAGATTAATTATAGCTGATTAATAATATGTCGATTGAAAAGTTACTTCTTTATAATTGTGTCTTTTATTGCTATCGGAAATCAATGAATATTGATATATGTGGACCCAGCTACAGATAAAATTTCATATGCTTGATCTGCGTTTAGTAGGCGATAACTTATATGCCAAATTTTTAATTCTTTAGCTCTTATATTCCCTGTGATAGGTTTGCTCATGCACACCGATAGTCGGTCATGTCTAAATCGACTTATCTGTTGATGCTGATCGAGAATATATATATATTTATATGATCGCTGCTGCCTGTTTTATAATTTTGAAGAATCTCATTCTACTCTTTAACACATTTTTAATTTATATATATATATTTTTTAACTCTACACGCTTTCTGATTTTAACCAAAAACGTTTGCACTTGCCAATTGAAATCAACTGTTAATCAGGCAATTACGCAATTTAATTATGAATTAATTGCGCCATTAAAGCAACAATCTTGCTTAATTGATGACGGCTGCGGCTATTTGAAAGCTAACTGCCCACATAAATGTGCAACACACCCACAAGTACTCAGACACACGCACACTCGCCTTGGTATTGGATGTGCAACAGCCACCCGCCCCACACCCCCTGCTGCATCGAAGCGCTTTTGGTTAAGTGGGCGCGCGGCAAACAAAATCAAAAACACAAATAGCAGCCAACCAAACAAGCAACAAAAAAATAAATAAAAATATTGAAAAAATTATGAAAAACTATCAAAACATTTACATGCGGCGGCTCCATGCGGCCAACGCGACGTCCATTTATCAACTGACCAACTTCCCAAACCGCTGAAAGTTGCTGTTGTTGTTGTTGTTGTACATTTTATTTTTGTTGTTGTTGTGGTTGTTGGCAGTCGTTCTGCGCTGCCGGCGCCGTTTCATCTTTGGCAGGCAAAGAAAAAGCTTTGACTGCGATTGGAGGCGTCACAGCGATTGGCGGGGCTGTATAGAAGGGCAGCCGGTCCATCGGCAACGGCAACGGCATCGGCATCGGCATCAGCATCGAGCATCGAGCATTGAGTCTTTCGGCTCATGAGCAAGTAGTAAATATATGATTATGATGTTTATTGAAAAATTAATTTGCGCCTTGTTTTGGCTGCGGGTCTCATTTGCGTACCATTTTCAAAGCGCAATGAATAATGATGAAGATTATAAAAACTCTTGACGCGTTTCGTCTGGGAAATTAATATTTGTAATTGGCTATAATTGTTCGTGCCAACGTAGAAAACCATATTAATGAGGCCCCTTTGCGCACTCGTCTTGCGTTGTATTTCAATATTTTTAATTGAAAAGAAAGCGGCCTTCTTGGTTTTTTAATGAAGCGCTTAACTGGCAGCAACGAAATGTTTTAATCACTCACTTGTTTGATAATGTAAATGGAGGTGCCACAAAGTATATAGATACATATTTTCATATATATATATATATATATATATATATATACACTTAAAAATATATGTATCGGCAACTAAATATCTTGGCATTTTTGAATTTTAACTTTTATAAATAGCCACATTAGATGCTGTCACAAATCTTCAAAGATCTTGGAATTACCAAGTTAAATTTTATTTATACGACACATGTTCAAGATTTGCACATAACAAAATATAAATGACAAATTCTTGTTTAGTTAAATAGTGTGTTTATTTTACGCTAATAAAATTTCACATTTCAATTAGTTGGCATTTTGTTAATTTAAATTTTATCTTAATTTATTAGTTGAGCTAATCAGAGAAAATTAAATGATCTTTTTAGAAAATTATTACTTTTGTAGACACTTTGCTAATTGGCAATAAAATATTTCTATTTATTTTTATGGATGAACATCGTATAAAGATCCTTCATAATACTTCCAATGGGAAGTTCAAAGAGTTAACTGCTTTATTCAGCTGCTCTAATTGAGTTGATTATTCGCCGAAGCAGCAGCTTCATTAAATATACCCACAGCAGCATTTACAATCCCCAAACAGCGCCTTGGAGACAACCCTTGCTGGACTACCCCCTTCCCCCAGCAAATCCCTTCGCCCAAACATGAAAGCGAAGCAACAATGGCTGGTAAAACTTCGGAGCCAACAATTTTCACACAATAATCCTTAAAATGAGATTAATTTGTAAAGTAAAATTATAACCAGAGAGAGACGGAGACACAAAAATTCCAACAAAGGAGCAGGATACAAAGCAAACAAGAGAGAGAGAGAGAGAGAGAGAGAGGCAGAGCGCGAAAGAGAGAGAGAGAGAGAGAGAGAGAAAGATGCCTTTTATGCCATTTATGAAATATACTATATAATGAACCCCAAAGTTTGGCTTATCCTGGCCAACCTTTTGTTGTCGCCTTCTGTGGCGGATGCGGGGCCTGGGAGGGGGAGGCAGAGTGAGTAGAATTTGCTGCTGTTTATTTCGGGATGCTGCATATTTGAGATTTACGTGTGATTGATTTGCCATGCTGGCTACTCGATTTATGCTTAGCGATAAGAATTTTATGGTTTATCTTTGAGGTGTGTGCGCCATGGACATAAATTGCATTTATTTTATTCTTTTTTTATTTTTTCTGGGGCAGACAGCAAAAGAATTTTTTTTGGGCAGGCATAAAAAAACATAATTTCCTGCCAGAGATTGCAGCTTTGTGATAAGATGCCGTCGTCAATGAATTCGCATTCGCTTTTCATCATAATGATGGGCTTATTGTTTATTATTTATGTACGTATATATGTATTTATGTATATTTATATAGATGGTTATATTTATGTATGCTTCATTGCAGCGATGCTACATTTATTAAAAGATTGCCCATACGCCGCGTGCGCCCCAACCTGGAGCACCAATTAAATGTTCCCTTGCGCTAAGCTGGCGAGCTCTGTGGAGACTCCGAAACGTAAGCAGACAGCGCGACGACGACGACGCTGCCGCCAATTACGTTGACAGCAGAATTTAATAAGAAGCGGCAAGCGGCAGGCAAATGAAGTCATGAATGTGGAAGCTGTGACGTGTCAGAGCGGGACGGCGCTTAACAGGGGAAGAGAAAGAGCAGCAGAGACAGAAAAAAATCCAATGTGGAAATGGGCAAGCGACGGTTGCGGTGGCTGCTGCTGCTGATGTTGCTGCTGCTGCTTGTTATAAAATGCTAATACGCGCAGCAAAAACGCTTTGAAGATTGAATTATTCAATAATAATTAGGCGTGCGAGCGAGACAGCCAAAGGCAGCAACTGTTGCAATGTTGCCGTCTCGCTTGCGCAACATAAAACAAAACTCACCACACTGGAAATGAACAGCGGTAGAAAAGAAGGCGGCGCAAGCAAACCCAGCAAGAGGTAAATAAGAAAAAAAAAACGAAATAAATAATCGCTGTGCGAGAGAGCATAACCGAAACAGTTAGGCCAATAAAAATGGTGTCGCGGCAAACGCATGAGCAGCGAGCGCAAGCGAGAGAGCGACAGGCCGGTTTAACAGCCACCACCACCAGCCAATGTGTGTGTGTGTGTGTGCTTGTGTGCGTGTGAGTACGAGCAGCAGCAGAGAAGTGACTGCGCCGCTGTCTGCGTTCAGTTGTAGAACAGACGTGATCTCAAGAGGACGTGTCTCTCTCTCGAGTCTCAGAGCCGCAGCGTGAATTGAACGTCTCACATTTAGCAAGCAAATTCGAGCAGGCCGCGTGCGTGCGTTGTCTATACGTATATGTGTGCGTGTACGTGCGCGTGTATGTGATCGTGTACGCGTGTGTGTGTGTAGAGTGATGATGAACGAGCGAATTAATTAAAAGATAATCAAAACAAATTAACAACACATATGTATATTTTTCTACTGAAAGTCAAGTCAAGTGCCAATTTGAACTCGCGCCAGTGCAATGTTTCAATAAAAACCACAACTAAGGAAAGCAAGAGCAACAACAACAACAACAACAACATTCAACTTTTGAAGGAAATCCAAGAGAGAAAAGTTTCGCTGGCTTTATGTTAAAGCTGTCTAGCAACACCGCAACAGCAGCAGCAACGAGCGTAGCAGCAGCAGCAGCAACGACCAGGAGCACGACGACGACGAATAGGAGCAGGAGTATGACAGTGACTGGCCTGCGCCAAACGATGACCAGCCCGACGGTGCCGCCAACCACAGCGCTCAGCAACAGCGCCGGCAACAACAACAACAGCAGCAGCAACAGCAGCAGCAACAACAGCAGCAACAACAACATCAGCAACAGTATCAGCAACAGCAGTCTGACGTCGGTGGCTGTTGCGGCTGCTGCTGCGGCTGCCGCCGGAACGGGTGCTCTTCATCCGTTGGCGAGTCCAACATCGCCGTCGGCACTGCTGCTGGCACACCAGCAACACCTGCTGGCCCAACACCAACAGCACCAGCAACAACAGCAGCAGCAGCAGCAACAGCAGCAGCAGGCTTTGCACTTGGCTGCAGTGCATCCTGCACCGCATCATCTGCACAAGAGCAGCTCCAGGCTGAGTAACTTTAGTGTTGCGTCACTGCTGGCGGACACACGACCGCGCACCCCGAACACTAACAGCGATGGACCGACGAATCTGTCCAGTTCCGCCGCCACATCGCCCATCTCGCAGAGCAGTGCAGCGGGCACACCGCCGCCACCGTCGCTGGTGGTAGCAGCACCGCCAACTGTGCCGCCTACGCATGCATTTCATCCCGCCGCTGTTGCGCATCACGCCCACTTGCTGCATGCCGCTCATGCGGCAGCCGCAGCGCACGCCCAGCATCAGCACCAGCAGCAGCAGCAGCAACAGCAACACCAGCAACAACAGCAACAGCTAGCAATGGCGCAACTGCGTCAGGCCCAGGCCCAGGCTCAGGCGGACGCACGGGCCAGTTCGCCACCCGCCTCCGCTTCAGCCAGCTCGACGCCCAGTTCAACGCCGGTCGCACATGGAGCTGGCGGCAGCTCAACGCCCGCCAAAAATGAGAGGCACTCGCCGCTGGGCGGCAGCAGTCATACGGATTCAGAGCTGGAGTACGACGAGGATATGCTACACGATCATGATGGGGAACATGATGAGGACGACGATTCCATTGTGGACATCGAGGACATGAATGCTGACGATTCGCCGCGATCCACACCCGATGGCCTCGACAGCAGCAGTAAATCCCTCGAGGGCTCCCATTGCGGACCACCTGGCTCCGGTGCAGGAGCAGGCCAAATGCCAGCCACAATCCTCTCGCCAGCGGCGCTGGCAGCCAGTGGCCATGTGCCCATCAGACCAACGCCATTCAGTGCCCTCGCCGCCGCCGCAGTCGCCTGGGGCGGCATGGGCGGTGGCGTTCCATGGCCGGGCGCTCGACAAATGCCACCGTTTGGGCCGCCGGGTCTGTTTCCAGGTCAAGGATTTGGTGGAGGTAAGTGTCGACTGCATTTTAACTATCAAATCTATTAAAACGTTCTTGAACAATCCATTAACATTGGGCATTCTAAAAATCGGAAATAATTGGTATTTAATCTGAAAAAATGTCGTCAATAGGAAAACAAAAATGAAAATGAAAATGAAGCCGTTTTCACACCTAGTAAAAATTAAACACATGTGTAAACAAATAATTATTTGTATAGTTGTTTAACGATTGTTTTTGTTTGGGTGCATATCGCAAATGTAAAAAATGTACTAAAAACTTAATTAAATAAAAGATGAGGTTATAAAACGAGATAAGCTACAACTTCTGCTTACAATTGAGAGAACAGAGAAAAAAGATTCTAAAAAAAAGAAAAATTATAATATAATTAATTAATTATATATGGGATTTGCCTGGTTGCTAATAAAATATGTCTAGGGGCAGGTGCCAAATCCTTTCTAAATTACGCTTGGTCAGAGACTTTATCGTAATGGCTAAGTGACAGTTTTTCTTTTTCGAGAAAAATGCAACAAAAAATAATCCGTTTTTGGACGCGAGATTAGCCTTGGTAGTTTATCTAATAACTGCTTAGAATTGATCAGTACATTTTACAAATTACATTAGTGTTTGAGCTATTTTATATCGATTCCATATTATCTTTTATAAGAAAAAGAGATAAATGTGCATATTTCAAACATTTCAGAACAATATCGATTCTATATACAAAACCCATAAAGATATCAACAAATGCAATATTCCATTGATTCGTATTTCATGGTCTGCCAACTCCATTTTGTCTGATTGTTTGTTTGTGTGTGTGTGTTTTCATAGTTTAATTGAATTAAGCTGCCCCGCGCCTTAATTGGCAACAACGGCAAATACATGCCACGACAATGGCTGCCACCAAATGGCCATTGAGGCTGCGGGTGCTGCAGCTGGCCCCTACTCTGCGCCTCCCCAGGGTTTGTCCCTGCTGCCCTGTCTGCCGTTGCAGTAGTCAAAGTGCGTGGCAATTACTCCGTCGCTTTAAATAAAACAATGAATCGTTCTTGATTGCGCCAACCATTTACTCGCATCATCATCCACAGCATTATTATTATTATTATTATTATCAATTGTTGTTGTTGCTGTTGCTGTCTTTGGTGTCGCGTCGGTTTTGATTTAACTCAATTGGCGCGTCTGCTTATTCATTGCATTGGCGTTTTTGTTGCTGTACTTGTTCGTTGCTTTTTTTTTTTTTTTTTTGTGTTTTCCGGTCTATGTCAGCCCCCCAGTTGAAATAAGTAGGCCCTAGTATATATCTAACTGAACTGACTGACCAGACTAATTGAAGCGAGTCTGGCGGCGACTCTCTCTGTCGCGATTAGTATCTGCATGCACAGTTCACACTTTTCTTGCATTTTCCGGCATCAAACAAACAAAAAGTGAGCAGGCCAACACTTGCAGCTATTGCAACAAACAAAGCCGTTGGTCACACCTTGCTGCAGTCTGCCGTCCAGGACAAAAAACTGCCGACGGCTGACAGACATGTGAACTTTACCCGTTTAGGGCAAAAAACCTATCGCGAACTTTGCATTTCCGCCCGGCAAAAACAATAACAACAACAAGCTGGCCTGTTTTTATACTTGTTGTTGCCTTGCCTGCTGCTGCTGCTGCTGTGGTGCATTGTTTTATAAAGCTGTCAACAGGCAGACGCCCAGGTGAGGCGCCACATTCAGTTTTTCCACATATACACATATTGGTTTTCCTTTTTCTAAAATGACTTCATAAGCAATTAACATATGAAAGCAGTTGCCTATGCCAGCGAAGAGCTGCGAAGAAAGAAAACGAGTTTAAAGTTATGAAGCCGTCATTAGAAATCATTAGAGTAAATTAACCAAATAATTAAATGCATTTTTTAGATTGCTCAACATCTGTTTTGCAAGCAGTTAAAAATTAACCATAGCAATCGTTAATAATAATCATAAATAATATATATGGAAAATAATTATAATACTTTTTATTTATTTTTAAAAGAGCCAATTTCATCTTCTGATTTGTTATCGAAATGCGAATAATAAATTCGAGTAATTATCAAAGATATTAAAAATGTGAATTTAATTTGCATTTTCATACTAACAAAGAGATGAATAATATTTAATAACAAAATAAAATATTGTCGATGTTTAAATCTTATCTCTTTAAATCTTCTGCTTCAATCATAAGTTATATAGCTTGATTAGCTCCTCTAAATAGCCAATTCAAATTGTCTTTCAGCTGACAGGCGACAACAGCAGCAGCAACAACAATTATTTCAAACATTTGCCGCTTATTTTGTCATTTGCTGTCAACTGCAGCTACACACACACACAGACACACACACGTACACATTGCCACTTGAGTTTGTGGCATACAACTTTATTTCATTTCATTTTGGCAGCTGTGTTTTTTTTTCTTCTTTTGGACCCATCATCCACAGTAGGTCTCATTAGCGCAGCAGGTTGCTGTCTTTTTGTGTGTCCTCTCACTGTCTCTCTCTCTCTCTCTCTCTCTCTTCCTCCCTTATCCCTCAATTATTGTGTTTGTCTTCGTGTGACCTGTGCCGCTATCGATTGCCCCATTATGTCAAGTGTTAGGTACTTAGTGCCTCTCGGCAATGTATCTGTGGCAGTTACTGTAGCTGTTGCTGCCATGCATCTGTGCCTGCGTCTTTAGTGTATCTGTGAGTAGGCCTGTGTCTAAAAACGGTAGCTCTTAACTGGGCCTTATCAGCGGCGCTAGTTTCATGTTTCATGGCCCATTCAATTAGATGAAAATACCACAAGGCCTGGGCATCTTAAATGGTCTGCGATTAGGGAACACACAAGAACACAAAAGAATACACACAGCTGAAGTTTGCACTTTGCATTTGTGTGGCCCTCAGTTTTCTCTACTCTGCTCTGCGCTGCTCCCTCGTGACTGCTCAGCCTGCTCTTCGTGGCTTTATGGCCTAAAGAGTATGCAATTTGATTTGCATTGAACATGCAGTTAAAATGCCCAGCGACGAGGCTTTCTATAATTTAACTAATTTGCAAAGCGCAGGCACGTCACGTTCCTTATGGAATAACCAACTCGCGATGCGATAAAAAAAATGAAGGCAGAGTTGCACGTAAAGGGTGAGTGGGGAGGGGGTTGAGGGGGAGGGGGAGGGGTGGCCAACTAATGCAGCTGCAATTCTTGGCAGCCATTACAGAAATTAATTTTCAAGCTGAACAAACGAGCAACAACTTGGGAGTCATTGCATAAATATAATACAATGCAAACACAACAGAAGCAGCAAATGCAAACACACGCAGCACTCGACAGAGACAGAGAATGTGAGAATGTGTGTGAGCGAGATAGAGAGAGGCAGAGAGAGAGAGAGAGTGAGAGTGAGGCACAACAACAACACCAACTTGCAGACTGGGTAGACTGGGTAGGTGTGGCATGTCAGCTACGCCCACCTAAGCACGCAATTTTATTTTTCGTATTTGCAGCCAGGCAGCAATTTAAACGTTGACAGACGGCGACAGCCGACGGCTGCTGGGCGAGTAATCGGATGGGTTTTGTGTAGGGAGGAGGGGGTAAGCCCGGGGGCAGGCGAGGGAAGTTGCATGCGTTTTAACACCATTCGCCAAAAAGGCAGGCCCCAAGCGAAGACGCCAAAAGCCAAAAGCTAAAATAATATTTGCATTCTGCACGCCATCTAACGTGCATAAGCTGTACTAAATACAAACACACACACACACACACTCACACACACACATACACAGACACACACAACATAGCTGCATGCAATACATGTAAGTGAGGGGAGAGGTTGGCAGGGGGGGTTGCTCTGCTGAGGTGTGCTGGCGCAGACATTTTGATGTATGTTTTGGTAAATAAAATTTATTTGCATTAAATTACCAGGCAGACAAAAGCAACAGCAGCTAAGGGGGGAGCAGCAGATGGGGGCGAGGTGTTGAAGTGGATAGTGTTGTTGCCAATGACTTGCATATGTGCCACAAGGTGTTGCCAACTTGCAACATTTGTTCGTATGTATGCACATTAAGACAACGGCAAACATTTGCTAAATGTTTGTAGACAATTGGTAGTTCAACTAATTTGAGGCACAGTCTGTAGCTATCTGTGTGCCTCCGTGTGTGTGTGTGTGTGTGCTTACTGCTGGGTAATTAAAAGAGAGCTCTGACGCACTTAAACTTGTTAGCAGGTGGGCAACAGCCACCTAAAGCTGAAGCTGCATGCCCAACCCACACATGATTTGCTCGCTCGTCTTTCTTGGCTCCCCCTTTGGCCACGTTATCGTTCGCTTATCTTGCACAGAGGCAGCCATTGGTGATTAAAATATGCACTTCATTGCCACTGCAAACATTCCAATTTCCAACCGGACAACCCGAGCAACCCGAGCAACTGGGCAACTGGGCAACATGCAATGCGACAAGATTTGTCCACTGATCGCGCCCCCAGTTTGCCAAGAGTGCAAAACTTATCTATGGCAGCCGGTTTTAACACGCTCTTTGCTAATTAATAGGCTCTAATGGGCCGGTTCTCATGAACGCCTCGAACACTTTGGCCAGTAATCAGGCCTACATATTTAGTATACGCACTCAAGTGCATTAAAACGGCAAAGTAACGAGCAGTAAAAGTTACATATCCTCCATGGTCACATTTCATGGTTTGCTCTATAGTTTGTGTGTGTCTTTAAGTTATTAATTTTTATTCATTCTCTTGACTTCTTGTATGGGTAATATTCTAGTTACATGTCAGTTGAAATTCTCTTATATTTACTTTACTTTCTTATGCTTTCGACCAGTATTTGTTGCTCCTGTGACGAGTCATTATTGGCCACTCAATTTACATTATTATCTGTTCATCATCATATCATCCATTCGCTAAAGTTCCTCATATGCATATACCAAATGTGTTCAATTTTGGTGTCGTAATCAATGATTTCTCCATCATATCCAGTCCATTATACTTATAACATCCTAGTAACATTTTAGTCGAATTTTCCTTTTATTTACTTTAATTTGTTATGATTTATTCTTAGCATTCAAGTTCATGGTGTTTACTTAATTTATATTAAGCCTTATGTACTTTAACTAGCTCATCCATTCAATACAGTTCCATATATACACAAAATATGTAGATGTGTTTTCATATTTAACTGATATCCCAATCATTTTATATTTTTGCAAATTCGCTGATCGCAGATTATGTGATCGCACACACAGGCATATTTATAGCTTGAATTGGTTACATTGCGCACCCAATTTATCTACGTATTTGGTGCTAATTAAAAGCCCTCATTAGAAAATCAGACCGTCCCAATCAGCACCCGGACTGGCATGGAGTCCCCATAGCACAGCTCGCTTGACCGTAAGCGTGTAATTGCATTAGTCAAACGTTCGCCACCGTTTTCTGCTCCAATCGATTGCGAAATGTTTTTCACTACAAAAAAAAGAGCAACGTAGACTGTTCCCCTCTCCAACTCCCCCCCACCCTCCAACCCCCCGCCCCATCAGCCACCCTTTGCATTAAGTATACCCCACCTGTGTCACCTGCGCGATTGCCCGATTGGTGCCTGCTGCCTATTTGGCTATGCGAAAATGCTTTAATGAAGAATTAATTGCCTGCAATTTGCAGCGCAAATCAATCCAACGTTGTCACCATTGCTTGTCCGTCGTATCGTTGTTGTTGTCTTTGTTTTTGTTGGTGTTGTTGTTGTTTTTTTTTTTTTGTGTAGCCCATAGGCCTCTAGGCATAGATAGGCATAGACGTAGGCAAAAGGCAATACGAATATGCCGATAGAGGCCTCTATGGTCGATTGCTGAGCGTTCGATACGCGTAAATTTCACAATTGCTGCTTGTTTGTGTTGTTGCTGTCGCTGCTGTTGTTGCTGTTGTTGATCGAGTCTTATATGTCGTCGTCTACAACACACCGGAGAACTCAAATTAATTGAAAATCCATTACAAACATAGGCTAAATGTCACAATTGGCGTTTGTGGCATGTATTTGCACTGGCAATGGCGATGGCGATGCTGGCGACGTATTGCCACAGTAACAACCAGCAAGCAGCGAGCAGCAAGCAGCAGCAAGCAGCAGCAACAACAATGGCAACAACAATGCCTATAAAAGCGCAAAAAGGCGAAAACAAGTCTCGCACTCTGGTTTGAACGTGCGTGGCCGTCTTCGTCTACCTCCCTGCCTCCCTTGCTGCCATACTCCATCTCTGGATCTGTTCAGTCTGTCGAAGTTGGATCTGTTGCAGGTTATTTGTGCAACAGGCGGCGGGCCAAGCTATTGGTTTTATAGTTGATCCGTGTTGCGGGCAACGTGTCCGGTGTGGTGCGAGGGGCAGCTCAAGCAATGCCACTTGCTATAGTTTTTTTTTTTTTTTGCTCTTTGGTCTGCAATGGAAACTGAAACCCCATTCGAACAATTTAGCGACAAATGAGCAATTAATTTTCAAATAAATGCAAAGCGCAAAAGAGTTTCAGCAATGTAGCAACGTATATATTTAGTACTTTTGCGAATCATTTTGTGGTAATTATTGATGCCCTGTGGCTAATAGAAACATTTTGTGTATTGTCAAAATAATGATGCCCAAAAACACACAACACAAAAAAAAAGAAAGACAAGCATAAAATAAATAAAAAATAAAATCAGAATCAGAGATGTATACAAATAATGATACTAGCCCCGAAAGGCATGTGACAAAGGCAGCCAAAAGCTGTAAAACTTGACCGCATCGTTTATATGCTAATTTGGCAACTAATTTATGGGCATCACAACAAGAGCGACAACAACAGCAATAATACAAAATAATAAAAATAAATATAAATATACACATGCATATACTACCTACCACTAAAAGAGAATCTGAAAATATTCAAAATATGTACATATGTACAAATATCAGAGATGTGTGTTTGTGTATTTATGCATATTTATAGATGCATGCAGGCCGCGTCTGCAAGTCTGTAACAAATTTCTCGGTGCTGCTGAGGCGCATCTTCGGCAAGAGCAACATCATCATCGTGGTCGCCACAACAATGATTATCAATATTATTGAGGTTTATTTAATTTTTTTTTATTTTTTTTTGATTTCGTTTCACCTTGTTAGGCCATACAAAACGATTTCACGAGACTGCAGTCAAACAGCACAAACAAATAAATGAAATTTTATATGCATACAATAATATTCTCGTAGCAGCAGCCAAAAGATAAGGCGGGCCCCAATCTGTACGATCGAGCTTGGAGCGCATTAACATAACTTTGACATGTCACACTAATTACTTAATGAGCTGATCAGTCCCACTGTCTGTTGATGTTGCTGTTGCTGTTGCTGTTGCCATTGCTGCTGCAGATGCAACAACGCAGAGAGTCCGCGAGTTGGCATTATTAGTTTTATTATGACAAAACAGAGTTGGACTCTGTACAAGATTTAGACACATGTTTCGAGCAGCGCTGTTCTTTTTTACGGACAAACAGAATTTGACATTTATTTGTTTATTGATAACATTAACGCGACTCAAAGTGTGTGTTTGTGTGTGAAACGAACAACGAAATTGTTTGGTATGTGGCAGACTGGTTGTCTGGGGCTGGGAATCTTCTCTATATACATACATGTATGTGGAGTTCTCTCTCAATTATTATTTGGAGTTGTGGCCCATCTGGTCTCAGCCTGTTATAGTCTCTGCTGCTGTTGTTGTTGTTGTTGTTTAATGCCTCATTTGCGCTGGCTGCCATCAATGCATAAAATGTAATTACAATGCAAACAGCAACGGCAATTTTCGGTTTGTCACTCAACAATTTCAATTTGTGTAATTATGCATAAAATTAAAGCGTTGCATATCATTTGCATGGGCCTTTATTTTGATTCCTGTCTCCCTTTCAGTCAGCAAAACAAAATGCTCCATAAATTACGCGTGCCTGCGCCTTCACTCGCTTCTGTCCTGTCCGACGACGAATATATATATATATATATATATATATGTATATATATATATAGTCAATGCTGACCCGGGGATGCATCTTTAAAATGCCATTTGCATCTTTGTGGTTTGGTGCTGGCAGGGCTCAATGGCAAGCTCATTACTTTCATTAACAACACTCCAAGCGAATGCCACAGGCGCACGATGGTGGAGCAGCTGCAGCCAGCTTGCCCCTAACTTGCACTGCACACCGCAGCAGGCAGCGCCAGCTTTATCTGCAACTACAGCTACAGCTTCATGCGGCTGCTTTATAAGGCATGCACGTTTTTTTTTTTTTTTCGTTTTTGTTGGCTTTCTGCTGCCCAGCCGCGTTCTCGGTTCGGTCTTTGTCTTTGCCAAAACAAAATGCCCAAATTAAAATTGTTTTGCAGCCAGCACCGAGAGAGAGAATCGAACTCGAACTCGAACTGGGGACATTGCATTTCCCGTCGCAGCGGCTGCGGCTGCGGCTGCGACTGCGACTGCTGCTTTGTCTGACAAATAGTTTAGACAGCAAATTTATTGGCCACTTAAAGGAGTAATTACCGTTTGGCTGTAGACGTTGCCATTGCCGTTGCCGTGTTGCTGTCGTCGTTGTTGTGGCTGCCGCTTTTAGCCATGACAAGGCCAAGGACAGTGGACGCTGCCAGTTGACAGCAACTCATTCAATGGCGCTGCAATTGTATGGAAATCTTTGATTTTAATTGGCCCAGTTTCAAAACTGACTAGCTAATCAACACACGCACTCTCTCTCTCTGAATTACATCGAACTAATCAACATTATCTCTCCCTCTCTCTGTATCTTGCAGATGCCAATGAGCCGCCTCGCATCAAATGCAATCTGCGCAAACATAAACCGAACCGCAAGCCGCGCACCCCCTTCACTACACAGCAGCTGCTGTCGCTGGAGAAGAAGTTTCGGGAGAAGCAATACCTGAGCATAGCGGAGCGTGCCGAATTCTCTTCGTCGCTGCGACTCACCGAGACGCAGGTGAAGATTTGGTTTCAAAATCGGCGCGCCAAGGCCAAGCGGCTGCAGGAAGCGGAAATCGAGAAGATCAAAATGGCGGCGCTGGGACGGGGTGCTCCTGGTGCACAATGGGCGATGGCCGGCTACTTTCATCCGAGCCTGATGCATCTGGGATAAGTGGCGGCCAAGTTGGTTGGTTGCACCAACAGATCGTTGTTGTTGTTGCACCAGCCACACAAGCAGCCAGCAGCCAGAATGACAACCAAATAACTGAGCCACGCCCAGCCGCCAGCATAGCCCACAAAAAGTCGTGCTCGCTTCAGAAAACGAAGAATAATAAAAACCCCAAAATTTTGCTGTGATGTTAGCGCATTTTATTTACGATACTTCCAAATGTTTTTTGTAAAATGCACTCTGTAAATACTGTAAGCATAGAGAGGATGAGATAGAGAGAGACGGAAAGAGAGCTAGTTCTGCTTAGATTCGTAATCCAAAATCTGTAAATATCTAAAATAAAAAGAAACCTAAAAAAAAGCAAGCGAAAATGTTTCCTAATTGTACATAAATCTAGAGAGTAACCTAATCATGAATTCTTAAGAGCCAATTTGCGTTTAGAAGTATTTGCTGTTTGTTAAATATAAACTGTAATATATAGACTTTCGAAAATATTGAAAATAAATCAAAACTAAAATGGAGAACTTCATGAATAATTTATTTGTAAAACTCAAGTCAATAAATATACAACAAAAGACAAACAAAATCAACGTAAGCTTTTGCCGTTAATGATATTTGATTGTCTTGTACTTTTGCATAATAAGTCTAGTTAAAAGATCATGTATGTATTTAAAAAATACTTGTAAGAAACTTAACTAAACAGCTATAAACTATACCGTTAATTATACATTAAATAATAATACGCAGCCCTATATACATAGCTCATACATTCATACGAAATACTACCATATAGTGTTAATCCTCTGTAGTTGTTTACACTTAAATCATAAAACAAAATCCCCAGAAAAAACCAAAACAAACAAAAAAAAAAAAAATCAGTGGAAAATATATAATTATACGAATGATTTAAATAGACTTTGTTTTTGATTCATTTTACAGCACACAAAAATGGAAAGAGATTATTATATATTCTTTCTCTCTCCCAATCATATGTAAGTGTCTATTTTTGACCTTGTACAGGTTAATGTAATTGTTTTCAAGATGAGCTCTGACGATTCAGCTCAGTTCGTCTATTTACTTATATGTATATACATATGTATATATGAATTATCTTGCACAATGATGCTCGCACAATTAAATTTGAATATCTGATTAGATTTTATACAACTTCTATAGAAAACTGATTTGATTAGGATTTAATGGACAACAATTGGAATGAAGGCTATATTAAATGCATCTGATTAATATTTTCAACTTATATGAATGAACATGTACAATACTGCCTTCAAAAGTAAATGTGAATATCTGATTAAATTTTCTACAACTTCCATAGGAAACCGATTTTATGACGATTCAATGGATTAAAATTTGAATTAAGATCAATTTGCAAGCAAATGCTGAATATTATTAAGTTCAGCACTCAGATTGAAAGCAAACAGGAATAATATACATATATATTTCGGGAAGTGTTGCATAGAATAACTGAAAAAATTTCGTACTTGATTCAATAGAAGACATATTAGTCAACTAAAGTCTATCATGTCAGTCCCGATTCGCTTTCACTTCGCGGAATATCGACAGTGCTGATTGACACTGATTAACTATCAGTTGTAATTCTAATTAAATGTCAAGTTGTCATTTCTCACTGTACGTTAACTGTCCACATTTCTCAAATTTGGCATACATACTTATTTGCATTGACGAACTTTGAGATTATCTCGTCAATTGCCTGGGGATTTTCTGCGCTTCCCGAGCAATTCTGAGAAATTCTGTTAAGAATTATATTTATATATTTGCTGAACTACTTGCCGAGAATTTGAAAAATATATAAAAATTGTGACGTTCATGTGCGCTATTCAGAATTCCAGCATATATGCAAAAATATGATTCATACATGTTTCTGATTTCAAAATTTATATTCAAGTCTGCCTGACGACAGATAGTGATCAATTGACTTGACCGCCAAACACAAATGTTCATCGAAATTATATTTCATGAGTACTTATTTTGTTTGCCGCGATTGCTTGACTGTTTGACTATTCAATCGTTTGCGTTTCACAATCAGACACTCAAGTGCGAAATGTAAAAGCGCCAACGTGTGCCTATCAGCGATCAATTAATATTTAATTAATCAGGCGAGGGCCTGAGGAGGGAATGATCGATGCGGTCGGCGCACATGGCGTATGCGTACTCTTGTTTACTCTGACCGCCGATCATTGGCAAATGACTAAATGGAGGCTAAGCCGAGACAACAGATGCTGCTGCCGAGAATTGAGTGATTATCAAATTGTAATTTTTATTTCTATGCGATTTGTCGAGTGTCAGACGGGTTCAATAACAGACGCAGCCCATCAACTTAGCTGTACGCTTCTTTTTTACTGTATTTATTTGTTGTTGACAATATGTGAGCGTTAATCTTTGTTGCTGCTTGCTGTTCTTATCGCGCTGAATTAAACCCCAATTAATTTAATTACAAATGGAAATAACGCGTCGCTGGCAGCAGCATCGAAATTGCAACATGTCCAAATTTCGCTTTCTTGATTTATTTGCCAGTTTGCTAACAGATGAATACAGACGCAAATATATATAAATATATATGTATATATATTATTTTAATGATTGTGTGCATTGGCATGCGCTCAATAAATAAATTAAATTATTATTTGCCACCTTGTCGCTGATAAGCAAAATTCATTTGAATTTTTTACAGTAGCATTTCCATTTAATAAAACTGTCATTTATTATGCCCAGAACCTGAAATTTGATTTACACAAAGTATAAATTTTCGATTCAAGTGTACTTTATACATACTATTGATTTTTCTTTTATCTTTATTTTAAATATTCATACTTACAATTATTTAATGGCATGTAAACATTCACAACAGGGCATGTAACTGTCAGTGCTCATCTGTTCCGCTTATGCAAAATTAGTTAGCAATTATAATATAGGCAGAATTTGACGTTTTATTAGCTGGATGTGAAATACATTATTCAATTGTAAGCTCGTTTATTATATTTGTATAAGTATTTACAGATATGCATGTCTGCATTGATAAATGTTTTTCCATATGAATGCAAATTTCTACGGCAGCCAAGCATTTTTATCTCGAATGTCAAATCGATTGTCTCCGCAATTAATTACGCGTATATAATTACAATGTAGCCCACGCTGATGCCGACGCCGACGCCAATGCCGACGATGACGACGACGACGACGACGTGGCCTATGCCGTTGCTGGCGCCCTGGTCTCTTTATTAATTAGCCCTGATGCGACTGCAGGTAGCCACAGGTGGTGATGGTGCATGCAGCATGCAAAACGTGCCGCTGCGGAAAGTGCAATGCGTTAATCAAAACGTAATCAAATCATTTGGCAAGGGTCGGGCAGGCGAAGCCAACAAGAACACATTATAATCACGGCCTGGTCACACTGCTAGCCCGCTGTGCGTTGTCGGCCCGGCAATTAAGCTTTATATCTGGCCTAATGGACCGAGCGCCGCCTGCGCTGATTGCACGCATTTGTTTAACCTACTCGCTCCTCCCCCTTCTCCCTCGCTCCCTCCATCGCTCGCTCACCCAATCAAATATGAAACTGTGCCTTTCAGTCCCCAAGTCCAAGCACGACGAGAACGGTGGCACAGCATGATATTAACGCCCCACCGTGAGGCGGCGCATTTACAATGATAATATTTGTGTTCGAAGTTATCAATGAGTGCGCCGCTGCTCAGCGAACGGGAATATTATTGAATGGGTCTCGAATTGAGATTGGAAATGGTGCCATCGTTTGCCTGGGAAACTTTTTTTCTTTTAAATATCTCAATCTGTGACTAGAGTGTATTTACTTTAGACTATATTTTGTCTATCGATTCATTTTTGATAAATTTGCTTATTGGTATATCTACTTTTATTTTGATTCCATCAGTTTTTTTTAAATTACCCAAAAATTCAAGCAAGTTTAGTTAACCCAAAGTTGCTTTCCCAGCTATGTCTAAATAGAGCATATCGCTTTGGCTTTTTTGAGCTGTGCATATTTCATTAATCACTTGCTTAAATTAACCCAACATCAGTTATATACTTTGTTTTTAATTTTGGCGAATATCCAATGTCAAATTTTGTCAGGTTGACGACTTTAAATAACTAAAATAAGTAGATTATATTAAGTTTATCTATCTACAATATACAAATTTTAAATCTAGTTTCTTAAGAACACACTGAAAACTATTTACGTTTCACTGTTTTGTGAATAAATCTGAATTTTCATTATTATAATTAAGTTGCAAAGCGAGTACGAATAAGTAACGCCTCTACAACGATGAAAGAAGCACTTTGCCAGCCATAACATTTTTAATTAACACCAAATAGCCCCAGACCAGCTCACCGACCCTTGCCCAAACATGCAAATGATCTCATTATGAGCTGATTATGCAATGCATTGGTCACTTCAACATTTATACACATATACATTAAGAGCAACAGCAACAGAAACATCAACATACTAAATGAAAAATACAAATACAACGGAAAATTCATTCATAAACGTAAGCGAATTGGAAATCCGTTTACTTAACCTGCTTCGACACAGTGATAAACTTCAGAGATCATCATATGTACAAATATCAATGGATTTCTCAGCATACAGGCAGCCTCGCAACTCTGGCAGACGGCCTGGCGGAGCACTCTGTGCTCGTGTGTGTATGGGAAACATTCACAATTACCGCGAATAAATTGAGGTAATTAGGTAATAAAAATAATGTTTTCACCTCATTATGGCAGACGGGCATCTGCGGCTAGCAGCTGTACTTCAATTGGGCTGCCATTTTTCCAAGAAGCCAGTCAGCCAGCCAGCCAACCAGCTAACCAAGCAGCCAACCACCTGCCAGCCATCGACTTCGCATCAGACCACAGCTCCACTCTGAAGTAGGGCACAAACACAAACAGAAACACATTCACATTCATTCGCAGTTCACATTTGTGAAGTTAGATCAATATGCAAACTCATTCAGACTGCATATGTGCGCATACCCTGCACTCATAATGGGGTATATTAGTGCAAGCTAAGCACTTTTTTATTTTAGAGAAAGAGCTTTCCCACTGAACTCAAATATGAAAAGATCAAGTGTTGCGATTTTTTGGATAGTCCAAAATATTTCGAATCCCAAATGTATCCTGCACAAAACATATTGAGATTTTTAGAAAACATTTTTTAGTTAATCCAGGATAGTACGTAATCTAAATAGTATATACTATGAATAAATATGCTTATGCATATTATTCTATATGCTATAAAATTCTACATTTTATCAATTCACAGCAGACTACCGTAATAATGTGGTTTCCACGACTTACAGAGTATTTCACACACCTTATGCGTTATGCGTTCTTGTTATGCAGTCTTGGGACATGGTCAATGGTCAGCCAGAAGCGAGTGACAAAAGCGTTTGAGGTCACTTTTATTGTCGTTGCTGTGTATTATGCAAATTATTAATTTTTCATGGAATTTTCAGGTCAATTACAGTTTTCACCACCACACACTTTGTACGCACCCTTACTTTAATCATTTTTTTATGTGCCTTCGGACAATTTCACCTAATGCCCGAACTGGAACCTAAAGCACATGTTTTAATGGCTCAGGTGAGCGGCTTTAATTGGTTGAAAATGTGCGCGTAATTATGATGTTTAATATAGTATTACTATGTATAAAGTGAAGTGCTGTGGGTGAGGGTAATAGTCGGCAATAATTTGATTGCCATTAAAGTGCTCTTGAGGCGTTTAATGAAAGCAAGGCAATTCGGATATCAGACTGTTGACTGGTGGCTCTTAGCTCTTGACTTTCCTGCATTAATTTTGTGGTTAACTGCAAAAATTCCGGGAAACA